AAAAAAAAAAAAAAGGAGGATTGGCAGATGTTAGCACAGGGCTGATCTCCTCACAAAAAATAAATAAATAAATAAAAGGACATGCGACATCTTTTATGATGGTTATACACCAAAATTGGTTGATACAAAGAGGTCTGCAATGTTTAAATTAAGAATTTTAATTAAGTTGTTTTTCATTATCCCTTTATATTTGTTTCTGTAAATTTTTCATAACATGTTTTAAAATATATATTAAAAAATAAGAGTTCATTGGACCCATATGGTAAATGGTAATGTTTGTCTTCTCTGGTCTCTAAAGGCTAATGCATTTAATACTTGAGATTAAGAACCTCTGCTTTAAATAATTGGTACCATTTACTCATATATTGAGTACTTATTATTGCCAAATACTGTTCCCAGATTCTGTCATAGAGCAATAAACAAAGTTCGCTCTCACAGACCTTATATTCCAGTGGGAGAAGGTAGATGGTAGACAGTGTATCAGGGTTATAAGGGCTGTGAAGAAAAATAGAATAGAGAGTATTTAGTGAAATAGAATGCTTAATAAATAATATTTATTGCAAAGTGATTTAGGTAACTGAAGAGATGAAATACTGAAGTTATTTTCTTGTAGAAGACTTGTTTAAAATAGTGGAATGTTTTTTACTTTATCAAATCTTAATTTTTTAAAATGATGTGATAGACTTGTTTTAGTATCCCTGAAAAACTGTAAGGTAAATGTTTATATCAGAATAAATTGAGACTCTTAAAAAAATATTCTTTTCTAGGGTTTTTTACATGGAATATTTGACCGTCTAAAACAATTTCTGGAATGTAGTAAGTACTTCCATGACAGTAGTTTTTACTGTACAATTCTTATTCATTAATAGCTTCTGCTCTCCACTTGCAAATCTGGAGAGAGGCTATAAAATCTTGTATTTTGATAATTAATTCTCTGAAGTTAAATTGGAAGCTCAACTTTGTCTTCATGTATCTGTCTTGGCCTGAGTATTGAGGAAAGCTTTTTTAAAAAAAAATCTATTTTGTGTCCATTCCTTGCTCTGTATATTTCTGTTGCTACTACTCTGTTCCATGTAGACATCCATATGTTTAACAACTATTCATTAAGTGTAGATCCAATGCCAAATGCTGTTTAGACTTCTTAGAGATTCTGTATCTTTTAGTACATTTTACATATCTATATGATACTATAAATTTCCTTAAATGGTACTTTTCATTTTGTAAATCCCTTGTTCATTAACCTTCACTGGTTTACGTTTAGGACCCTTGCTAATCCACTACCCCACACAAGGAATTTAGCATTTACATTTGTGTTGTATTATACTGGTGGTCTATTTGTTGTCCTTTCCTCTTCCCTGTGATTGTAAGCACCTCCGCTACACACATATACAGGATATACACACACACATGCTACAGGTGCACACATACGTTTGTATATCCTGTCTACGTGTGTGTTTTTATGTATGTGTGTGTGTATTTGGGGACTTATTACCCTGAGACATCTTAGTGTACTCACTTTTAGGGAGTTGCTGATTGTTTTATGTCACTCGTTTTCAGGTTAGTAAAAACATTGTTGAGTCTGTTGCCAGGTGTTGTTCTGGGTACTGTGCGTGCAAAGATGAATAGAACGGCTCATATAATGTAGTTTATTTTTCTAAAAATGGTCATTTTTCCCTGGTCATCCCCATGGGAGAAGCAGAAGGAAGAATAAAAGTCCTTCCAGGAGAGGAGAATGAGATAAACGATGAGACAGAACATGAAGAGTATGATTAGAGAGCAGAGTAGTTAATGGACTGATGGACGTTATTTGAATGTACAAAAATTAATTAATTATGGCAGGGAAATTATCAGAAGAAAATTGTCAAAAGATGTAGGAAAAATAATGAGTACGTTAATCTTTGAATGCTTTGTTTTTATTTATGTTTCTCGAAAAGTATTTCAACTATGACTAATTTAGATTTAGAAAATGTGATTCATGAATCTTGGATAAAATTGCTACCCTTTTACTTTAAAATGGGCTCAGTTTGTATTTTAGGAGTGATTTTGTGAAGTACGGCACTGAGGATTACTGTGTCTGTTAAGTGCAAATCTTGGTATTGCTTTCTAAAAACTTTATTTTGATGGTTTATTTGTTTAGAGTTGGGAATGCACACTAATGAATTTATAATGCAAAATATGCAAAAATACATCTGAAAATATTTTTGTAAAAAGTTTTGTCATTGTCTTGGTTATTAATTTGTAGAATATTATCAACTTGTACTAATATTTGAAATGTATTTTTAACAGGTAGAAGTGTAGGTACAGATAATGTATGTAGAGATAGACTGGAAAAGACCATCATTCTTTTTACTAAAGTGGTAAGTTTTCTTTTTATCTTAAGTATGTTTTCTCAAATAATGTACACATACTCAAGTTCAGTAAGGAGAATGATATTTTTATAAGCAGACATTTTTACTTTAGTGTGAAGTAACTTATTTTCTAACTGCTTATAGGAAAGCCAAAAAAAACACAGCCTTTGTATCTTGAAGCCTTTAGAATGCATATAATAATTAAATGTATATACTGTATATCATAGTATTGATTTAAAAAAATCAATCCTAATAAATGTTAGAGAAGTTGATTCCTCTAAAGCTTGTTATTCTCAGACCCATTGGAAAAAGAAGATAGTAGTGCAGCTCAGCAGGAAGTAGATCAGATGTAGCAGGCAGTGTCATGTGAGGATGTCAATTCAGAATGACAGATTATCATCATCAATATCAAACATCTTTTGAGTAGAATTATAAGGGTACACTATGCTATGCAATGTGTATAAATTTCTGATAAAGTTAAGCTTTATAAAAAATATTAAATTTTATGAAATTTTGGGCTTGGGAGGTTGGGAGAGGTGCAAAGAATTTGGTTATAGCATTCAGGAAGACCTGGTTTGAGGACTGTATTGCACTAAAACAGGTGGTTCAAGACAGGTGGCAATATCTAAATCTGTAGCCTATTTTCCCTGTTTCATTGAAGGTTCTTTAATAGGGTTGAGGTTGTGTGTTCCCTGGGAGGGGAGAAAAAGGAGTAGGAGTGAGCTGTTCTTATTTTTGTGGTTAGGTAGCAGTTACCTTTGGTTTCAGTTATCTGTTTCCAACTCGCACATTCCAAATAGCCTCAACAGCAAAAGCCTACCTAATCTTCTAAGATCCAGTATAAAGTTGACTCATACCCTTTAAGTTAAAAATAAAAAACACAAAGCAAAGTAAAATAAGATGATATGGTTAGTCAGTGGGGCTGTGCAGTATTCATAAATAATTTTATTTATGAAATTCATATTTATGATCTCTATGACTTTATTAAAGCTTTTAAAATTGGGACGTTTCGAACATGCCTGCAAATAGAATTGAATAACTTTGAGTGCCTGTGAGGTCATGACTCAGTTTCAGCAATTATCAACATACGATCATGGTCAATTCTGTTTAATCTCTGTGCTTCCTCTCCTTCCCCTCCTTGCTGGTTGTTTTAAAGCAAATCCCAGATATCAAATAGTATTATCTGTAAATATTTGAATATGTGTCTTTAAGTGATAAAGGATTTAAAAAAAACAAACACATAATCTTAACACCATTATCACATAAAAAGTAGGAATGACTTTTTAGTTAGTTTTCAGATTGCTCATAAATTTTTTATAGTTGGTTTGTTTGAATCAGGATTCAATAATGTCAGTTCTCTTTCCATCTTTCTTTTCCTAGCTGTTTGTTAAGGTCACAGACCATTTTCTGTAGAATTTTCCATGTTTTGGATTTGGCTGCTGCATCTCGATGTGTTATTTGACATGTTCCATTGTCTCCGTACTCCTCTTCCTCCTGTATTTCTTATCAATTTGTAGTTAGATTTAGAGGCTTGATCATATTCAGGCTTTTTTCTGTGGAGGAGGATGGGGATGGCAAGAGTACTTGACAGGTGGTGCTCTGTATTTCCTATTGCATCACATCAGGAGATGCGTGATGTCTGGTTGTCTAAAATTGATGAGTGTGCTATCCATTATGAAGTTTCTCAACAGCCTTTCCCCATTGATTTTAGCAGCTGTTGATGATTATGGCTTAGATCCATTGATTGGGAGTTACAAAATGATAGCATTCTTTTTTTTTTTTTTTTGTGAGGAAGATCGGCCCTGAGCTAACTTCTGCCAACCTTCCTCTTTTTTTTTTGCTGAGGGAGACTGGCCCTGGGCTAATATCCATGCCCATCTTCCTCTGCTTTATATGGGACGCCGCCACAGCATGGCTTGACAAGTGGTGTGTCCCTGCGCTCCCGGGATCCGAACCGGCGAACCCCAGGCCGTCGCAGCAGAGTGCACGCACTTAACCGCTTGCGCCACCGGGCTGGCCCCACAAAATGATGGCATTCTAATGCTATTATTCCTTTTGCATTTATTAGCTGGAATTCTTCTGTAAAGAAGAAATTTCTCTCATCAACTATTTGATACATCGAAATACAGTTCATGCAGGAAAGGCAGGATAATTTTTTGGATTCTTTGCCTTTATCTATTACTTTTTAAAGGCCTATCTTTTGTATAGTTATACTTTTTGTATCATATTTACCCATTGTTATCAAGTTAGTATGAAGTGGGTCTATTTTGGACCCTGTACTATTACAAATTAATAGACAGTTCTTGTTATGAGATATAAGATGATATAATCCACACTATATGACGTACCCCAAGAGGTACTACAAGTATATTACATGTGAAAATGTGTATTCATGGACTTTCCACCAAGTTTCGAAACTTGCTAAAACGTTTATTAGCAAAGTTATAAAGATGTACTTATGGATGATTATATTCCTATATGAATTTGGGGGAAATACTTTTTTAATTTTTTTCTTATAGCTTTTGGACTTCTTGGATCAGCATCCGTTTTCATTTACTCCTCTAATTCAGAGATCACTGGAATTTTCTGTAAGCTATGTATTTACGGAAGTTGGTGAAGGCATTACATTTGAACGATTCATTGTCCAATGCATGAATCTTATTAAGATGATTGTCAAAAATTATGCTTACAAGCCATCCAAAAATTTTGAAGGTAATGCTTTACTGGTAGTTTTAGTTTTTTTCATTTCCTTATTTCAATCTAACTGAAGTAATCGCTATTTTTATGTGATTTTTTTGAAACTGATTTATTTAAGTCTGAAAAATAAAATATTGCTGGGACATAAAATAGAGATAAGGATTAGAGTCTTTAATATGTGAATGCTAGCTTTTAAAAACCATGCAATGCATTTAGTAGATTGTCTTTTGTAGTATAGTAGAAGATCGATTGAAGCCTAGGGACTTGAAGAATTAAGTACTACTGTCACCACTGCAGCTCATGTTGTGGGCTGTATTCATTTGTATAGTTAAAAGTTTTCTCTGACTTTATCTAAAGTGAGATTGCTTCTAGGCGGGGTTAAATTGTTTGTTATATTATTTGGAATTCATTCATGTGCATTTGTACTGAGATAAATGAGGAAGTCTTGTAGGAGAGAGAGAGAGACGTATATAAGTCAGTCCCTTCAATATAGTGTGATGATATAGTATGGTAATGTACAAGCTATAGCAGTAAGATAGAAGCAATACTGATGTGTGTGTGGCATGAATAAGGAAAGAGTGTCTTTGAGATTGGTCCATGATAAAGATGAAAATTTGTTCACGACTATATCTTTTCTCTCAAGAGTGTAGTATTTTTAAATTTATTTAAGTTACATAATCCAACTTGGGTAGAATGTTTGTCTGTATAATTAACTTGGAAATTTTATTTTTCTAGATAGCAGTCCTGAAACTCTTGAAGCTCATAAGATTAAGATGGCATTCTTTACATATCCTACTTTGACAGAGATATGTAGAAGATTAGTCTCGCATTATTTTCTGTTAACTGATGAAGAACTGACAATGTGGGAGGAAGACCCAGAAGGCTTTAGTAAGAACGAGTTTTCAGTTTTTGCCTGGCTTTTCTCCCCCTTCCATAAATAGATATCATCTATTTTAATGATAAGTATCATAACATTATATTTTAATAATGCACTTTTGATCTGAGAATTTTGATTTTTAAAAATTAACTTACTGGGGCTGGCCCCATGGCTTAGCAGTTAAGTGCACGTGCTCTGCTACTGGTGGCCCGGGTTCGGATCCTGGGTGCACACAGACGCACCGCTTGTCCGGCCATGCTGAGGTAGCATCCCACATAACAGCAACTAGAAGGATGTGCAGCTGTCACACACAATATCTACTGGGGCTTTGGGGAGAAAAGGAAAAACAAAGGAGGAGGATTGGCAGTAGATGTTAGCTCGGGGCCGGTCTTCCTCAGCAAAAAGAGGAGGATTGGCATGGATGTTAGCTCAGGGCTGATCTTCCCCACACACACACAAAAAATTATCATCCTCTCTTTGTTAGCCATTGGAATAAACTGAGAAGCAGAAAGTGAGTAGCTTGTTCAAATATGTAGAATTTTCTCCAGAAAGAGACCTTTTTAATTTTTGGATGTTCATATGAATATGTCAGCTGATTTAAAACAAATACAAAATTAACTGCTTGTCTCTGTTATCAGGTCTGTTTCTACTTTGTGATTCATTCCATTTTATTTTTTATTTGTAGAAATTTTTTCAGAAAGAAATTTTGGAGATGAAAATTTCTGAATTGCTGAATGGGTTACCTATTTAAATTTTAATTTCAAATTAGTTTTTGGGTGGTTCAAATGTTTTTACAGGAGATCTTTTTATTTTTTTGAATTTTAGTAGTAGTAAGAATAATTCTCTCCAGGCCCTTGCTACAGAAAATCAAGGAATTATGTGCCTAATAGAGTGCCTATGTGTGTATAAAGTGCCTGTGTGTGAATCACTTCGGCCATGGTCAGACGTAGATAGATTTTAGCCTCTACTCGTCCCTTTGGCTGGGTGACCTTGCGTAGTTATACATATATGTTTCCTAATGTTTGAAGAATGCCTTAAACATTTTGGAAGATTTAGCTTCCCCTTATTTTTGTCATTTAAAAATTATTTTAGTTCATTTAGAAAATACAGCACTACACTGTACTATGTGTCCTTTTTTGTTTTTGCTTTTCTCTTAGCCAAAAATCTTATGTTTCATATTGCTTTCTTTATGCAGTATATATAATATTGTAACATGAAACACTGAATCCTTAGATTTTTAAAAGTCCCTGAAGTATTTCACTTTTTTAAATTTAGGAAATTTATGGAAAATGGGATTAATCATTTTAACTTGTAAAACATGATTATTGTATTGAAATGAAATGTGTCTCAGGATTATAGTTAGAGTGTATCAAGTGATATCAGATACGTGACAGGTACTTGGAGCTTTCCTTTACACAGAATTAGTGGGAATGCTTATGGATGTAAGCACTTGGTAGCTGACTGTGATATCGACACATCTGAGCTGTGGCTGATAGTAAAGAAATCTGTGTAAGGCCTTGTGTTCCCGAGGATTTGCTTTCAGTGTTATGTTTAAAACAATTCACAGAAATATTATGCTGATATTATTTAAAATCTTTGTTTTCCAAACTAAGATTTTGGAAACATCATTATTCATTTCTTGGGAGCGTCATTTGTCATATTTTTAATTGCAGCAGTGGAAGAAACAGGAGGAGATTCTTGGAAATACAGTTTGAGGGTAAGTATTAATTGAAAGAAAAATTGATAGGGAAAAGTGTAATACTTCTATAACTTGTAGAGAATGATCCTCTGTTGAAGATTCCAAGCATTAAGTTAGATAGGAAACCATCTATAATTGCAAGAATCTATATTTGAGAGGAAACTACTTACCTAAATTGTGAACGTTAATCTGAAAATTTTTTTTGTTAAATTGAGGGTTTACAAACTGGATTTTTCTTCATTTTGCAGTCAAATTGATGGGTAAACAATTGTAATTGCACAAATAGAAGATGTTCTTAAAAGTGAAAGCTACCTCTTTTTGGCTAGAATGATTTTATTTTCCCTCCTAAGTATTTCAGTGATTCTAAAGTTGCTTTTGATATATTATTTCTCTTACCGCCTACTGTGATTCTCAGAGATCAGCCCATTGCTTTTATAGAATGCTTTTTACACATGTTTATTGATATGATCAACATTTGAGGAAGATTTATCAAATGTGGTCTTTGAACTGTTCTTTTTGTGGAGACTGGTGTTTACATAATTTGCCATTATTTTTCTAAAAATGTGTCTTAATGTTTTTAGTTTCGTAAGTTTACATAGAAAACCAGAGACGTAAATCAGAGAAATTATTAATGCTTTAAAATTTTTTTAAAAATTCACTGCTCTAATTTTTTAAAACTTTATCTTATAGAAAACTTCAAATATATTAAAAAATAGAATAATATGATGAGTCCCTCTGTATCCAAAACCTAGTTTATCAGTTATCAACTCATGGCTAGTCTTGTTTCATATAAGCACACCTCTCCCCACCCCCCCACCCCCCCAACTTGGATGATTTTGAAGTAAATATCTGAGATGATGTATTTCATCATTACATATTTCAGTATGTATATCTATAAGATTCCTTTTTAAACATAAAGCAGAATAGCTTCAAAATTTAATGATAATTTCTTTATATAATGAAATATCTAGTGATTCACTACTTTTAAGAACCAAAATGACTCATCCTTTTTCTGTAGCTAACACTGATTTCTGTTACTGTTTGTGTCCATTAGAAGAAATGCTACTCTATGTGGTGAATGGAATACATGAGTTACTATTGTTACTTATTATGTCATTGCTAAGAAGATATGTACTTTTTAACATATTAATTCCTGGACAGCCGGTCATTTATAGTACTGAATCTATAAATGAATGTGGCTAGAGATTCCTTTTTTAATTTAAAGAATTATTAAAAATATAAATAATTTTCTCTCTGTAGTTTTATATTTTTTAATGCATAATGCCAAATAATTGGAATAGTGAAATAAACTTTCTATATATTATGAATTAAATTATTATAATTTGATTTTATTTCCCACTATGTTTACAAAAAATAGTATTCTACTTTTTTTAAAAAACATCAAGAATTGGAAACATTTGCAGAGTTTTAGGATTTTAAGAATGAATATTCTTTGCTTTGTTGTAGAATTAATCAGTATAATATACCGCTGTCTTCATTAGAAATTTGTGATTTTTTTCCTTCCAGCCTTGCACTGAAGTACTATTTATAGATATATTCCATGAATATAATCAGACTCTTACTCCTGTACTTCTAGAAATGATGCAAACACTTCAAGGTGAGGTATATTTTGTGATACTTTGATTCATCTATTAATTAATGTTCAATTAAAGTAGTTTGAGTGCCTGCTATGTGCAGTGCACTGTTGTCTAGGTCATATATTAGATATGAATTTGAGGAAGACAGAATAGAATGTGTTCTTTTCTGAAGGGGTGGCCTTCAGGATAGAGAACAAGAATGGGCAATTGACAAAAGAAGGCCTTGAGATAGGCCGTGAATGTGCAAGTTAGATTTTGCTATCATGCGAGCAGCCTAAGCAGAAGAGCGGGCAGTCAGGTATATTGCTTGGGGAAACAGTGTGTCTGGAGAATGTTGTGGGAAGTAGTAGGAGAAGAGGTTAGATTATTAGCCTCAGAATGGTGGCAGTGGGAATGGAAAGAAGATGATGGATTTAAGAGAGAATGATGAAGTGAAATGTTTAGCACTTTATCATCGCACTCTGTATAGAAGTAATTAATTACTTAACTATTAACTGTGATTTTATCATTTCTGACCTTTCTGCTATACTGCATCTTCCAGGGAGGGGCCAGTGATCACATCTGTTCTGTTCACATTATTCCCAGTCCCTGGCACACTCAGTAACTATTTGTTGATTGATTGACTTTTGGCAACTAATTGACTATGCTGGGCCAGAGAAAGTGATCAAAGATAATCCTGAACTTTAAAGTCTTAATGACAGGAAAAACAGTTATTAGTAGTGGTTGGAGGTAGAGGTATACTTTTGGAGTGTATGTATAAGGAGCCTTGGGAGAAGAAAAGAGGTTCAAAGACAGAACCTGAGACTTCCACCTTTAGGGATATGAGGAGGTGAAGGCCCTGCAAAAAAAGTCAGGTTAGAAACTGTCCCAGAGGTATAAAGAGAGAGAGGTATGGAGGTGAATCCTGGAGAAGAGCATGTTGTCAGAATCCACTGCTACAAGAGATGGAAGGCAGTGGAATCTTCAGACAGTAGATTATTTGATTGGTTGGGGCAGGAATCACATTGTGAGGGATCAAGGATTGAGTAGACGGTGACGTAAGGAAATAACAGCAAGAGAATCTCCTGTGGGGAAGGAGATTCCTGATGTGGTTTGTAGTGTTAGAGGGTAGCTCACTTTTTAGGCTTTTGTTCTCTCAAAAGCCTAATAGAGTGTTGCTGCTTAAATTATAAAGCAAGGGAAAAAGTGAGCTATCAGTCAAGTTTTACTGTGTTAGTTTTTAAAGATAATTTGAGTGTTAATTGTATTTTTGTATGGGTTGATTTCTAATGTACAGCTAAATTTCTTAATGCAGGATTATAGATTCTTAAATTTGGTAATACATATATTGCTTAAGTTACCTTATTTGTTGAGTTTAGAACATTATTTCTTTTTTCTTCCTGTCCATTTATTTTTTTAAACCACTATAGGAAAGTTGATAACCTATTTAGGTTACACTCTGATAATTTGCTGTATGCTGGTAAGGTTTTCAGTGATTTGGGAGTTTAGTTAGTTTTCTTTCTGGAGCAATTTGCTTATTTAGGGCTGTACTTACTTTACATTATTAGACTAGTGAGCTTAAGAATTCATATTTAAAAGCAGAAAAATGCTTTGATAAACTTAGTAGAAATCTTTCTATTCTAAAGAAATACACTTTTTAAGTAAACTGTGTTTCCTGTCTTAATCATGGTGTTCTCCTTTCTGGATAGTAGTGTGGAGACGGCCAACTTTTTATTCTAAAGTTTCCATATTACATAATGGCTATCACTTTTCTGTTTGCACTTTTCATTTTGTTGTCACCCTTTAATATATTTTCATAACTTGGTTTTTTTTTTATGTTTAGAACTTCTTGTATGAATTGCCTATTCCTGTTCTTTTTTTTTTTCCTGTTGTGGGATTCATCTTTTTATTTTTTAAGAATTTTCTTTTATAATCAGGCTATAATATAATAGTTAGCAATTTGTGACATTTTTTATGTAGTGTTGTTTGACATAACAGTTTTCAAATATGTTATAATGATTTTTAAAACTGTAATATGGCTTTACATGTTGCATTTGTATTTTCTAATGGTGATGATAACAAAACTTAGACTTTCCCTTTATACCTATATATATATTTAATATCACAGAATATATTGTACTTAACTGAATTCAGAAACTAACAAACTGAGTTTAAATAAAATATCTTTTGAAAACTAGTTTTATTTACCTTTACTGATACTTATTTTTTCAGGGCCCACTAATGTGGAAGACATGAATGCACTGTTAATCAAAGATGCTGGTATGTTAAACTAAAGTGGCTTAGAAACATTTATTTCTTCAGTAGATGGTCTGTCTGCTTTGTGGCAGGTGTTATGCTGGGAGAGTTGGGATACAGGGGTACCTAAAATACAGGAACTATCTGGTGAGGGAGATACCTGAGTAAGCAGACAACTGATTATAACAGTACCAGTTGATTAATGCTAAAATAGATGATAATCAAGTAGTACTGTGGAAAACCACAAGGTAGTTTTGGTGTGCCCAGGGAAAGGCTCCTAAAGAAGTGTTGTATGAGAACACAAGGATAAGTGGGAGTTAGCAAGGGAAAGGGGCGGTGCAGGAAGAGGGTTCCGGGCAGAAGAAGCAATATGTACAAAAACTTGAAGGGAAGAGGAGCAAGCACAGTTAAGTTGTGAACTGGAGTATTTTCTTTTTCTTTTCTTTTTTTTTTTTTTT